AAGGGGGATTCACGATGCCAGCAGCATCAAAGCTGCCATGTACCAGACTACTCTGGACACCGCACATGTTAGAGACATCAGTCCTGATGACGCTCAAACTCGCCATGCGGCACGCCTCGGTCACCGCCCCTTCCAGACTGCACAGACCACCAACGCCCAAAGCCTGCCCCATTTCGACGTCGCGATAGGACTCGTTCCGGCCTGGTCCTGCAGAGCCCGAAGAGCCCCCATCTCGCGCGGGGTTTTGCGGCGGCGCAACAGCCCCCGGCGAAACACCTGGAGCACGGCTGGAGGTTGGCATCCGCACCGCGCACCTTCTTTCCGCCCACGTCACAGATCTCTTCGGCACTGGCTGTCTTGCGCTTCTGGGCGGTCGGGCCGCTCTTGGGATACTCCATTGCGAACTCTTCTGGGAGAGCCGCGATGGCCGCCCCAGCGTCGAAATTCATCTCGTGGAGTTCCATCTTCACACCATTGCAATTCAGAGCAGAGTCTCTCGTTTCCACTCGCGCTTCTTTGGGGCGCCAGGGCTCAGGTGACACCGACTCTGCCCCCCCCCCCCCTCCCCCCTCTTCCCCCACGACGAGGGCCCCGAAGGAGAGGACGACGATGGAGCAAGGTGACGGCGACGAAGAGGATGGCTTTTGCCTGGTTGTTCTCGCCAAGGTACTCCGGCAAGTCTTTGGTCTTCTGCGGCGGCCTCCGCCGCCTCCGACGCGCCCTGCCTCCGGCGACGCTCGGCGTCCAGCTCGTCTAAGAACTGGCCCCTGCGGTTGTCGTCGTGGCTCAACCTGCGGCGGCCCCCCACTTGCACCTCCCCGTCTCGCAGCGCTCGCAGAACACTTTGCCCTTGTCGCACAGTTCGTGAGAAAACGGGCAATTTCCCGACTGCGCGCGCCACCGAACATCGTCGCGCAGCAGGGCTTGGCAGAAGTTCGCTTCGCGAGCTGCTTCTGGTCGCGCGTCTCTCGAGCCTGCGGCCCAGTCCTCCGAAAAGCAGAGGGCTGCGCGGAGCCGTCGCGCTGCCTCTCCACCTCCTGAGCCTTATCGTAGAGGATCTCCTCGGCCTCATTCGGGCCCTCCTGCCGGAAGGAGCGAAGCTCCTCCCTGGAGAGCGGCCTGTAGGGCTTGACGTCATCCTTCCTCAGCCCAACGCCCGCCTCGCCCACCTCAGTCGGCAGCGCTCGCCGCCGCGAGGTTGCCGCCGCACACGCGCATCTTCCCTTCGATGCCCGGGTCGACCACCTCACCGCCCATCCCGTTGAGCACCTGGTCGGTCGTCATGTACTCCTCCTCCTTGACCGCGGTGGAGTCAAATTTCGCGCGCCACTCGTCCCCGAGTCTCTTCCTCTCGGCCGCGCGCTCTGGCGCGCCCTTCTTCCTGTCCTCGGCAGCACGCCTGCGCTTCTTCTCGTGGCACCACGCCTTGTGGTGAGGCATGCCTTTCTCGCCGGCCTTGCGGCACCTGCTGTCGCGGTGGCTCTGATCCAGAGTCTCGGGTCTACAGAGCTCCCAGGCTGCTCGCGCCGCCGCTGGTTGTCCGCTTTCGCCGCGGCCTTCACCGAGTCGCGTTTCTCTTCGACCTCGGCCTTCTGCCTCAGGAGCTCCTGGACCTCGCCCTCGTCCTCGGCCATCTCTATAGCCGCGTCGATCGAGCGGATCCTGTCCGAGTACATCCCCTGAACAGTGACTGGATTGAGCTCGCCGCCGAGATGTTCTCTGCGCCCCTGCGCCAGCACCGCTGCCTGGCTTCTGCCCCACTTCCTGCCGACCCACGCCAGGCGAAGCACCTGGCGCGGGTTCCTCGGGGCCGCCAGCACGGCACTCGTCCAGCGGGCTCAGGGAGAGGTAGCTCTGGTCGGCTGCCTGCTCCTGGGGCTCTTCCTCTTCCAGGGAGCGGACGGGCTTGCCGCCCTTGCCTTTGCCGCCGCCCTTGCCTTTGCCGCCGCCCTTGGGGCCCTTCGGCCCAGCCTCGGGCTCGGCTGCGGCGCCCGGCCGGTGCGCGCCCCCGCCGGGGCGCCCGCAGACCTTCTTCTTGCGGCCCTTCTTCCCGCAGTTGTCGCAGTTGCCCTGGAAGCCCCTCTGGGCGGGCATCCGGTCGCCCTTCCCCTTGCCGCTGCCTTTGGGCCCTTTCGGCCCCCCTCTCGGCTTGCCCCTGACAAAACTTCCGACGTCCATGTCATCAGGATTCCTGCTGCAGCTGTGGTCGACTACCTTCATTTTCGTTCCTGTGCGGGCGTCGAGGTAAGTGCCGATCCCCACCATGGCCTGGCGAACGCGTCAAACCTGTCGCTGTTGAGAAGCATGTATTATTTGAGCTCTTTCGGCGCTAAAGCTTCCAACGCGGAAATTGAGATGTCATCTGGAATGGCGCTCCAGTCGCCGTTCCTATCTTTTCGTCACTCGTACATGCGAACGCTGCCGGTCCACCCGGATAGCTGATCCAACGTCACCCTGGACGGATTGAGGATGTATTTCAAATGAGTTTTCTTCCTGCCGCCGGTGGAGGGGTCGTAGCGCCTGCTCAGGCGCCTCCAGGCTTCAAGCCCGTTGCCTCGACCACAATTGCTCACACTGTCGAACGGCTCCTTTTCGCAAAACTGCTGGAGAACCACGTGCACGTGATGCTCCTTGTTCCGCGGGTCCGGAATGAACTCGGGATCTTGTCGGTCCCCGAAAGCCACGTTGACATCGGCCTCGTCGATATGCCCCGCGTGCTTTTCGCCCCACTCCAACACAGGCTCCAAGTCAGGGAAAGCACTGGCGATGAAGTTCTCGACTTTCACCTTCCAAGGTAAAAACTGATCACTTCTCTTCCGTTCCATCGAAGCCAACAGGCCGTCCTATGCCCTTCGTGTCTACAAGCTGGACTCTGTCCCTGTTTTTCAGGTTCTGGAGAAACGCTGCCTGTTGAGCCGCCAACTGGCCAAATCAACTGATTCTCGAGCGCCCGCTCTCGCGCCTGCGAGTCTTGCCGGTACTGCTGGAACTGACCGCTCAGCTCCTGCAGCTGCTGCTACAACTGTTGCACCGCTTGCTCCATGGATGGCGATGTTAGCGATTGGGCTCACCTCGCTCCACAATACCATGATGGGAACTTTTTCTGCTATGCCTGCTAAGCCCCAAATGGCTATGGTACGCGCGCGTGCGAATCCGCTGACCCCATTCCGGGTAGAAGAATAAGACATATGCAATACACAGTGCTATAGACAAGGAATCTTCGAACATCCACGGCAACCCAAAATGGCCCCAAGATAAGCCAATCTGGCATCAAAAAAACCCAAGAGCCTCTGAAGACGGCACAAGAGGCCTCCAAGGGAACCTCCAGCAGGACCCGAAGAAACCAAAGCAATGTCCCTGTGGTATTCGATGGACCTTCGCATTCTCACAGTTTCGGGAGTCCGTCGGCAGAGGACGACCTCCGAAGACTCCCAGAGATGGCCCCAAGACGGCCCACGAGGGCCTCCAGAGGGCCCCAAGCCAGCCCGAGGGATGGCCCAAGAGCGGCCCAGGAGGACCCCAAGGCGGCCCAGAGGAGCCCGCAGATGGCCCTCAAGGTCCCCAAGACGACCCAAGGATTATGCTGTTCCCATCCCTCGGGAGCGGCCAAGAGGGGGGTGTCCAAGAGGGGGGGGTGCAAATCATGACCAGCGGCATGTGCGCGGCCCAGCGGGGGGGGCCAGGGACGTTATGAAATAAGAAGGGGCGCCATGAAATCTGGGGGAAATATCATGGCCCCCGCCATGATATCCACCCCCCCTAGTCATCACCCCCCTCTTTTCCGCCCCCGAATCCTACTTCAGGACCACATCCCAGAAATAACTTCGCGCACCCAGAAAAGTGTCAAGAGAGGGTGTCGAAAGAGTGCCGAAACGGTGCCGGACGAGCGTCTCCCCGGGCCCGACACGCGGAGACCCTCTCGAGCTCTGGGGTGCGCTCGAAATCGTTTCTGGTGGCCAAGGCCAAAGTAGGCTGGATCAGCATAGCCCTAAGGAGCCCCCTACCCCACCCAAAAACCCAGGGAGCCCCCCCACCCCCCACCCAAAAAACCCGAGGGATGGCCCAAGAGCGGCCCAAGAGGACCCCAAGGCGGCCCAGAGGGGCCCGCAGATGGCCCTCGAGGTCCCCAAGACGACCCGAGGCCAAGGAGCCCCCCCCCCCACCCGAAAACCCCGGAGCACCATCGGACGGCCAAGGCCCGAGGCGCCGCAGAGGCCGAGACGCCGCGCGGAGGGCGTGCGGCCGAGGGCGAGGGCGTGCGGAGGGAGGGGGAGAGACGGGGCGGGGCAGGGCAGGGCGAGTCCGGTCCGCACGGCACGCCTCGACTCCTCGGGGCCCCGGGGGCAGGGCAGGAGAAGCAGCACGACATGCAGGAGGGGGGAGGGGGAGGAGGAGGAGGACAAGGGGGAGGGAGGAGGGACGGGGAGGAAAGAGCATGGAGGAGGGAGAGAGAGGGAGAGAGAGATAGAGAGAGAGAGAAGGCGAAGGAAGAGGAGCGCGACGCGATGTGGCGCATGGGCTCGAAGACGACGGCGACGGCGACGGCGACTACGCCTGACGATGCCGACGACGGCGACAACGGACGAGGAAGACAGTTTGACGACGACGCACGACGAACGACGACGACGACGACGACGACGCCGCCAACGGACGACGGACGGCGAACGGCGGACGGCGGACGGCGGACAGCGGACGGCGGACGGCGGACGGCGGACGGCGGACGACGCACGACGCACGACGCACGGCGCACGACGGACAGCGGCCGACGGACGACGGACGACGGACGACGGACGACGGACGACGGACGACGGACGACGGACAACGACGAACGACGGACGGCGGACGCCGACGATGACGCCGACGCCGACGCCGACGCCGCCGCCGCCGCCGACGACGACGACGCCGCCGCCGCCGACGACGACGACGACGCCGAAGACGACGAACGACGAACGACGGAATCTGCAGCAGCACCAGCAGCAGGGCGGCGGCACGGACGCAGCCCGATACTCCCCGCACGAGGCCTCCGCACTCACCGCCCGCCGCCCGGCGGCCGCCTCCGCCGGCGGGGAGGCCACGGCAGACCCCGCGAGCGGCGCCTCGCGTCGCCACCGTCGCAAGGGGCGGCCGACTGCACTCGGGCGCTCGAGGCCGACTGAATTGAAGGGGCCCCAGGACACACAAATAAATACACACAATTAAAAGGATTCACCATATTTTCCTATATTTTCTGGGTTTCTGTCTTCCCCCCCACTTCCCATATTTTCCCATATTTTTCTGGGGATCGACGATTAATTGTGTCTGTGTGTTTTTCCCCTCCTGACGAATGCATGCATGCATGCATGCAATTGGGCGTCGTCGTCGTCGTCAGCGGCGGCGTCGTCGGCGCCCTGGCTCGCCATCATCGTCATCGTGTTCGTCGTCTTCGCCAGCGTCGCTGTCGTTGACCTCGGCATCGTCGTCGATCTCGCCAGCGTCGTCGATGTCCGCGCCGCTGCCGCCGTTGCCAACGCCGGCTTGGCCACCGCCGTCGCCCGTGCCCGCGGTGTGAGCGCGCGCTGGCCGCGACGCCCAACCGCTGGCCGCAACCGACCGGCCGGCCCGGGCCGGGCCAAGCCGCGGGCGTGCCCGAGCCGGGGCGCCGCCCCGGGCGCGCGCCGCGGCGCCCGCGGCGCGGCGCTGGCGCCGCGGGCGCAGCGGTCGCTGGCGGCGCCCTGGCGTGAGCGGCGGCGCGGCGGCGGCGGCTGACGGCGGCAGACGGCGGCAGACGGCCACGGCGAGCGGCGGCCGGGACGACGACGCCGCCAGCGGCGCCGACGACAACGACGAGCACGACGCCGACCACGCGGGCCCCCGACGACAGCGACGACGACGACGACGACGACGACGACGACGACGACGACGACGGCGACGCTGAGGAGATAAGATGCCTGGAAGGTCCAGGGGGTTCCCACAACAAAGTAACAGCGCAATGCTGTCGCTCAGAGGCCCTTGTCTGCGATCTCGCCTTTCCCTTTCTAAACCAAAAAACTATACGACCGTCTGGGCACTAGGACAAAAGCCGATTTGTTTTGGGCCACGGAAACAAGCAGACGCAGCGGATAGCGGGAAGTTGCTAAACGCCAGATGATACCACAAGCATGGAGACACAAGTTCGAGCGGCTTCAACTCAGGTCGGGCCAGCACCTCATCAACACACATGCGAGCTCAAACATAGCACCTTATGCCGAGACGCACGCTTATGTACAGAGGATGCATGGAGGGCCAAACACGATCCCCCGGCTGATTTAACACCACAGTGCTGACGCCCTGATGGCCCGAAAGGTGATATCACCATGCCCAAACAGTACTGTTATTGCAAGCTACGTGGTGCAATATATAGGGCGTAAACTATGTGGTGCAATCTGTGTTGCGCCATGTGGTTTCTAGATCTATATGTATGTGTATATGTATATGTAAATGTATATACTTGTGTATGCGGGGGGCCAGCTACGTGGCGCAAACTACGGTGCGCAGTCTTATGTGGTAAGGGGAGGATGAAATCATTTATGTGGTGTGAGCTATGTGATGTAAGCAACGGCGTGCAACTAATATGTGTTCGCAGTACGTCGTCAACCCCACTGATCGCACAACCATCTCACCTACCCACCCGCAATTTGATTTGCAAAACCCATGCGGCGGCAATTGCGATGAGTGCTTGGCGTTGGCTGGTGCATCTCTGCGGCCGCGCTAGCCCGCGCATGTTCGCTCGCGAAACGGCCAGATAGTTTGGCGCGACCGACTCGGCCGCGGTGGCGCTGACCGCTTGGCACGTTCCAGCGGGCTCTTCGATGCGAGTCGGCAACTTGGGCGGGAAAAGGTATTATGGCAACGTCGACAACGGTAGACATCATGATGGTGGTAACCATACTGGCGACGATGATGGCAACAACGACGGCAGGGCCAGTGACGGCGCCGATGTTGATCGCGACGACGACGATGACGGCGTCCTCGCGTCGGTGATGAAGGTTTTGGAAGGAGTTCGACATGTGCGCGCGACCGACGCGCGAGCGTCGCCTGCATGGTACGACTTGACGCGGACCGTGCCCCCCAGCACGCGCGCAAGGGCGTTCGAATGATTTCGACATGCGGCGCGAGAGGCCCGCTTGGCCGAATTTAAAGAGAACATTGAAACAGCTATGGTGTCCTTAAGGAGTCGCAGGAGCGCGAGCGCAGCACAGGCACTTTTTAAACTGATGTTGCAAAACCACGTCCTGTTCCCAACCATCCTGTGGTGTTGGCTCCTCGTTTTGAAAAGACAGCGCCCCGCGTCACTCCTCCCGCTGCACCCTCCCTCCTCCCCGCGCTTCACAGTTCGCATGCGTACCCCCCGACCAGTACTACAGCGTTCCGTGCCCCAAAGGGAGCTCCACCGAAAGTCCCAGTGGCGCAGTCCGCATGCGGTTCCTGCGCCCAGTGCAACGTTTCGTGGCCCCAGAGGAAGCTCCACCGAAGGTCCCAGTGGCGCAGTCCGCATGCGGTTCCTGCGCCCAGTGTAGCGTTTCGTGGCCTCAGAGGAAGCTCCACCGAAGGTCCCAGTGGCGCAGTCCGCATACAAATTCTGCGCCCACTGTAACGTTTCGTGATCCCAAAAGGAACTCCACCGAAGGTCCCAGTGGCGCACTCCGCATGCCTTTCCTGCGCCCAGTGCAATGTTTCGTGGCCCCAGGGAGAAGGTCCCAGTGGCGCCGTCCGCATGCGGTTCCTGCGCCCAGCACACCGCTTCTTGGCCCAGAAGGGGCTCCACCGAAGGTCCCAGTAGCGCAGTCCGCATGCGGTTCCTGCGCCCAGTACAGCGCTTCTTGGCCCCAGAGGGAGCTCCACCTAAGGTCCCAGTGGCGCACTCCGCATGCCTTTCCTGCGCCCAGTGCAATGTTTCGTGGCCCCAGGGAGAAGGTCCCAGTGGCGCCGTCCGCATGCGGTTCCTGCGCCCAGCACACCGCTTCTTGGCCCCAGAGGGAGCTCCACCTAAGGTCCCAGTGGCGCAGTCAGCATGCGGTTCGTGCGCCCAGTGCAATGTTTCGTGGCCCCAGGGAGAAGGTCCCAGTGGCGCCGTCCGCATGCGGTTCCTGCGCCCAGCACACCGCTTCTTGGCCCCACAGGGAGCTCCACCGAAGGTCCCAGTGGCGCAGTCCGTATGCGGTTCCTGCGCCCAGTGCAGCGCTTCGTGGCCCCAGAGGGAGCTCCACCGAAGGTCCCAGTGGCTCAGTCCGCATGCTGTTCCTCCACCTGGTGCAGCGCTTCGTGTCTCCAGAGGGAGCTCCACCGCAGGTCCCAATGGCGCAGTCCGCATGCGGTTCCCCCATCCAGTACAACGTTTCGTGGCCCCACAGGGAGCTCCACCGAAGGTCCCAATGGTGCAGTCCGCATGTGGTTCCTGCGCCCAGTACAGCGTTTCGTGCCCCAGAAGGGGCTCCACCGAAAGTCCCAGTGGCGCAGTCCGCATGCGGTTCCCGCGCCCGGTGCAGCGTTTAGTGGTCCCACAGGGAGCTCCACCGAAGGTCCCAGTGGCGCAGTCCGCATGCGCCACCCAGTACAGCGCTTCGTGGCCTCATAGGGAGGAGCTACACACCCTCGACCCCCCCCGCGACCCACCCGCGACCCACCCCGCGACACACCCGCGACCCACCCCGCGACCCACCCGCGACCCACCCTGCGCCCGCCCCCTCACCCTTATCCGCAGCTGCGGGGTGCTACAATGTATTTCATGACTGGTTGGTTACAAACTTCGAAATGTGCTGGGCCACGTAAGCAGGCACACACACACAACGGAGAGCCGAAGGTCGGTATACGTCACATGTTACCACCGGCATGGAGACAAAAACACAAGCGGTTCAGCCTAGGAGAGGCCAGCACGTCATCATCACAGAAGTCAGCTCGAACACAAGATCTGATACTGAGCCGCGCTGATGATATAGACATAACATGCTTGAGGGCCAGAGGCGTTCCCCCGAACAGATTGAGCACCGCATTGCTGACGATCAGGTGTGCGCGCCTGTGAATTCATCCTTCTGTGTTAAAATGCGTTTCTAGTTTAGCATATATGAATACGATACCAAAAAATACAACTTGCAACTAGTATATAGAATACGAGTATAAGTACTATGTTTAGTTTTGATTCATATGAAAAGTAGAACGCTTAGCAGTATAAGCATACAACTATTCTACTATATACATAAAATATTTATAAAATGTGTAGTATTGGTCATGTAAAAATGACGCTGGGCACGGAGCGGGCGTGTCCTCAGGTCCTTTGCTCACTCCTCTGAGCCTCAGTCCTCAGTCCTGAGGAGCCCTAAGGGACTCACTCTTTCGGGCCCAAGCAGGCCTGGAGGGCAGACGCCCCGGCCAGGGCACAGGGAAGGAACAGACTCTGAAAGCGTGTCGCCTTGGAGGACAGCACACATGCTGGGAGCACCTGATCGGTGCAAGGGCTTGTGTTGAACGAAGGAGCGCCCACCTTGGAGGGCAGGCCTCAGGCCCCGAAGACGGTCCAAGAGGGTCCCAAGTCGCCGAACGATCGCTCCAAGACGCTCAAGAAGGCCAACGCCTTCTTGGAGGCCTCTTGGGCCGTCTTGGGGCGAGTTGGGGGGCCTCAAAGGCCGTCTGGGAGCGTCGGGAAGCCGCGAAAGTGCCAAAACCCTTCAAAAACATACGGATAATCAATGACTTTGGCCTCTTGAGAAGCTTCTTGGAGGCCTCTCGGGGCGTCTTGAAAGCCTCTTGGGCCGTCTGCCAAAACGGCCCAAGGGGGCCCCAAGACGGCCCAAGAAGCGCCCAAGACGGCCCAAGAGGCCCCAAAGACAGCTCCAAGAGGGGACCCCAGATGGGGAACCCGAACTGACATTTCGAGCCCCGAGGGCCCCCAGGAGGCCTCAAGAGGCCCCCAAAGGCCCCCAGGAGGCCCTCAAGAGGCCCCCAGGAGGCCCCCAAGAGGCCCCCAGGAGGCCCCCAAGAGGCCCCCAAGGGGCCCCCAAGTGGCCCCAAGGCCTCCAAGGGCACTCCAAGAGACCCCCAAGAGGCCCCAAAACTGCCCCCAAGAGGCCCCC